GCTCCATGCAGAACGTGCCCTCTTTAATACCCATCACCAGGCTAACCCATCCTCCCACCCCCCTCCCCTCTAGAACCCTCAGTTTGTTTCTTGGAGTCCATCGTCTCTCATGGTTGATCTCCCCCTCCGATTTCTGGCCCTTCATTCTTCCCCTCCTGCTATCTTCTTCCTCTTTTTTTTTTTTCTTGATATATATTGCATTATTTGTTTCAGAGGTACAGATCTGTGATTCAACAGTCTTGCACAATTCACAGCACTCGCCATAGCACATACCCTCCCAATGTCCATCAGCCAGCTAACCCATCCCCCACCCCCCTCCCCTCTAGAACCCTCAGTTTGTTTCTCAGAGTCCATAGTCTCTTATGGTTCCTCTCCCCCTCCGATTCCCCCCCTTCCTTTTACCCTTCCTACTATCTTCTTCTTTTTTTAAAAACATATAATGTATTATTTGTTTCTGAGGTACAGGTCTGTGATTCAACAGTCTTACACAATTCACAGTGCTCCCAATGTCCATCAGCCAGCTACCTCATCCCCCCACCCGCCCTCCCCTCCAGCAACCCTCAGTTTGTTTCCTGAGATTGAGTCTCTTATGATTTGTCTCCCTCTTTGGTTTCGTCTTGTTTCATATTTTCCTCTCTGCCTACCTGAGACACAGAATCAGAAGCATTTATCTACCAGTCCCAACCAAGAATTGGTCAAGGGTTGCACCATGCATGTTTACTCCTCCCACTTCTAAGTTTGGTAGGTATCAGAATGGCTAACAGGCATCTTACACATTGGCACCAGAGACGCCTGGGACTGGACAGAGGAAGGTATGTGATGCAGATGAAATGAGATGTCAGGTTACATCCACAATGACTGGAGTAAAATGGTGGGCCATGAGAATGTGAGGTGGGATGCAAAATGTGTATGATTCTCACCTCCTGTTTTTTTAGGTTATTAAAACTAAGGACACTATCTTAGATTGGAATTAAAAGTTAAAAACATAAATCAATGAGAATTTATCAGAAGAAAATGTACTTCACAATTTACTAAATTACTTCCATTGGGACTGCTGCCTATTGCAAAAAATCATACATGGGGGAACATTAGAAAAGTTGTACTCTTCAAGTAACTGTGTGCATGCACACTAGAGTATAAACATCAATGTATGTTTTTTAATATACAAAATTATCATCTCTAGTCTCTCTTATTATTTCCTCTCTTGCTTTATAGGCATAAATTTCAATGTAATTCGTTTGTAATCTTTTTTAATCTTTGTTTGGGTTTTTTTTTTAGTTGCAATAGTCTAAGGACTTCAAAAGCTGAAGGGTTTTCGGCAGTCCAAATTTATTAACTATTTCAACTAAAGATGTTTAGTTTATTTTGAAAAAAATGTAAACAATTTTTGGAAGAATCATTTACAAAATATGCAGTACTGTTGTAGGACATTTATATGGATTTACAGAGTAGTGAAATAAGTTCAGGACTTTTCTTTCTTTTTAAGAACTTTATTTTCTTAGCACACACGAGCGAGGGAGGGGCAGAGGGAGAGGGAGAAAGAATCTCAAGCGGACTCCACACAGATCGCAGACCCCCACGGAGGAGGACCCTAAGATCATCACCTGAGCAGAAATCAAGAGTCAGATGCTCAACCAACTGAGCCGCCCAGGTGCCCCAAGTTCAGGACATTTCTAAAAGTTTGATTGCTGCAGGGAAGCAACAAGAAAAACATGTACTGCTATGATGAGGTTTTCCCCTTTTATTCTGTTTTACATTTGGTTCAACATAGGCTTGGTCACAAAAAAAGAAATTCAGTTCAGTTATATATAAAAAATATTTGTAAATTCTGAACTTAGTATGAACTAAGCAAATTCTGAACTCTTAGTATGAAATAAGGATTTTATATCCATTCAACTCTTCCTTCAAGTTTCAGGTCTTTAGAAGAAGCTGTTTTAAACATGTAAAAGATCAGGGAATATTGTTTTCATAAATGATTCCTGTCAACTCTACCAGAAAATAAGCTTTATCTGACAAGAATGCAGGAAACTTAAGCTGAAAGACTAGTTGTAACCAGTGAAAATATTTCTTAATATATTTATAAGTAAAAACATTTAGATAGATTTGAAGTATACATTTATATATTAACATATATTAATAATAAATACATTTATATAATAAATAATAAAGCTGGGATTCAGGGTGGAAGACTCTTATGCAAATGCTAATTTTCTAACAAAGTAGAAAAAAACAAATAAAATGAGAGGAGAAGAAAGAAAAGAGTAGTAATCTCATTGATTGCCCTAAAGGAAAAAATTGAAAGTCAAAATCAATGAAATCTGACAGAGGAGGAAAGCCTAAGTAAGAAAAAAGCAAGAGGTAATTAGGTATTAGTATACAGGGAACAAATTGAACAAAAACACGAATATTCCTAAATACCAAAAAAAAAGAAAATAAAACAAAATTTGATTAATATCTCTGTTGCAATACCCTATTCAAATTTGTCCTTGTGGGTTTATATATTATTTAATTTTAGTTGTTTATTCCACAATTTTAGTGGGATCTGAAAAGGGAGATAAATGTATATGTTCAATATTACATGACTAATCAAAATACCTAATATCACTTTTTAAGCCCTGAGGTTGGACTTCCTGCTGTAGAAGGATAGCCAGGTCAAGTCTATAATGGAAGCCCAGAGATTTCCTGAAATGATTATAAGCTACTACATTGCAGAGCTAGAATCTGAATCCTGGTTTGAGTCCAAAGCTCCACATTTAAGTATTCTATACCATTGTTTTCATAACATGGGAAAAATCTGAAGATTCTGTGTAACAGTATGTGTGTTGGGGAGGGGGAATGGGACCTGAATTTAAAGGCTATATAAATTATGCAATGTTACCACCACAGAGTTTCTCAGTTTGTGGTAGTCAGCACTGAAGTGTGGGGATGGAGTAGAAGTGTGGCTAGGAATGGAGTGTAATGTATTGTCTCTGTTTTCTTAATGATTTAGGAGCGCCCTGGTGGCTCTGTCAGTTAAGCGCCTACCTTCAGCTCAGCTCATGATCCTTGGGTCCTGGGATCAGCACCGCACTGGACTCCCTGCTCAGCAGGGAGGCTGCTTCTCCCTCTCCTCCCTGCTCCTGCTCTGTCTCTATCTCTGTCTCACTCTCAAATAAATAAATAATCTTAAAAAAAAGAATGATCTAATTTTGTAGTTTATTAAAATACCCAAAAGAGGAACATAAACTTCCATATACATTACGACTCCAATTCTTTGGGGTTTTTTGTTGCTGTTTTTTTGTTTTGCTTAACATTCATACCAATAAATAATGCCCAAGGGGGTAAAAAAAACCCTAGAAATAAATTTATCAAAGAGTTATTTTAGTGATTCAGTACTTATAGCTGGGTGGTAGAATTATTTTGTTAATATATTTCTGCATTTTCAAATTATCTCCCAAAGTATTTATTAATTTGATTATAAAATGCTGTAACTGGGAAAATGACAAACATTAAAAGCATTTGAAAGATTTACTAATAATCCTGGTAATGCTGCAGTGATAGTAGGACATTCAGACCATTAATTTAACCACAACCTAAACTTTCTAAACGTCTTCATCAATCCATTTCTAATTGTGTAAGATTAATTTCCATGGTCTGTTCCTCCAATCCATGGCTGGTGAAACTGAAAATTGGTACCACCTATTGGAAACAACTGGCTATATTTATCCTTAAAATCTTATATTTTAAAAGGCTTACTTACGCCCTTTACTCCAGTACTGCCACTTATCAAAACTTACCCAGGAGGAAAATCTAAAATAAGAAAAACAACGTACAATAAGTTGACGATTGAAGCTTATGTATAATAAAGTTGATGAGATTAAAGGAAGAATGGTCATAGTGCTAATTTATTCAACAGAATATTACTTCATTTATAATGATTATGAAACAGAAATACTCAGGTTAGGTTAAACGAAGAATAATATATTGTATATATCCATGTTGAGATTACTACATAGAAATGTAATACTTCTAGGTATAAAAAGAGGAAGGGGATACGGAAAAATGACAAGTCTTTTTTATTGGGGTGGGAAGATTTTGAGCCCCTCTCTCACTGACATCCGTGGTATCACTAGAAACATTGTATAGCTTTTTCCTTCTATTTAAGAACTACTGATATTACTATTTTAAGACTGTCAGTATACCTGCTATTAAGAAGTATTTGCTTTTATTTCAAATGCCCCGAGTTTGGGAAATACGCAAGTTGCAGCTGGTATCCTTAGCGTGTGCTCGTTAGTGTATTACCACGCTGTTTATAATGCACTTGATGAAATGTGATTAGCGCTTCCAGGACTGAAGAATTAAGTATCGGCAAACCGATCAAACGGAGGCTATCATGAAACAGCACCAATTTACCCCCGGGTCTTAGAGCAACAATGACCATTTGTAGCACTGTATTTCATCAATACTGTAGATACCCTGATTCTAAGCGCTTTGTATTTTCAAAGTGGTTTGGCTTCAATCATTCAGTTATCACAATTGCTCCCGATGCCTACATTTCTCCAGCGTTCCAGAGATCAGGACCAACGGAGGCATAACCATCCAGGGAGATTTCGTCCCGTTCCCCAACTCTACCGAGTGACCAAGTTCTAGGCAGAGGATTCGCAAATACTGTGCGGCTCTGCACCTCCTCTCGAGCAGCTAAGAGGCGAACTAACAATGCCGTGATTATAGTCTCAAAAGAAAGGCGCAGGCTGCGGTGCTGGGGCCCAGCCGGCAGGGCGGCCGCTTGGCTGCAAGAGCTACCTAGTGACGAATTCTGAAAACAGCACGTCAGTCCCTCGGATATACCATCGCTTTCTGCTTTTAGGGTTTCTCTTCTTCAAATATCCGGCGCCACCGCCAAGCCTTGCCGCCAGCCTCATGAGCCCGACCCACAGCGGCCCGGCTGCCGCCGGGCCTCCCGCCGCTCCCTCCGCCTCGTCCCATCTGCTCTGCGCCTGCGCAACCGGAAAATTCGCGAAGGTTCGTGAAGCTGAACCGGCCGTTTCCGGAAGCCGGCAGCAGCCTCAGCCGTCAGACCGGTGGTTGCGGCCGTGGGGTTGTATGCGCAGCCTCTAGCTCTTCGCTGGGTTTGGACCCGACGTTTAACGGTGGGGAAGGAACATGGCCTTGCTGTGCTACAACCGGGGCTGCGGGCAGCGCTTCGATCCCGAGACCAACTCCGACGGTAAGAGAAACGCTCGCCAGCCCTTCCTCCCCTCTCCACCTCAGCCGGGGGACGCCCTTGGGCCCAAGGGCGTCCCAGGGTCCGCCCGCGAGCCTTCGCCGCGCTGCCCCGGTCTGGGTCCCTCCGGGCCGCGCTCGCAGCCCGGCCGCCCGAGCGCTCTGTAGAGGCGTCCGACCCTCTCCCGGCAGCCGCGCAGCCCCACGGACCCACGCTCCGGTCCCACGTGTTTCCCGGTCGTCCGCTCACTCGCCGATTCGCCTGGAATTTAGAACATCTTTCTCCCTTCCCTGCCCCCCTCCGCCTCGTCTCTTTGGGGGAGCAAAAGTTAGCCAGGTGCTACAGGACTCGCTTAGCGGCGGGTGTGCGCGTGTCTGTGAGTGAGGCAGACGGATGGGAGGGTTGGGCAGCGGGTGAGTTATTTTAGCATTTAAGTTCGGCTCGTTGAATTAGTATAGAAGTTTATTTTTCTGAAAGTCTTGTTTTTCGCGTGTTCAGTCCACCCAACTGTTACAAAGTTGCTTTTTTTTTAAGTGTCATGGTTTAGTAAAATTACTGTCTTTACACTAAGTTTTGATGTATCTGGCGGGATGGATGGTGCATTTGTTACCCTTGTCTTAGTAATCTTATATGTTGTGCAGTTTTGCTGTGATCCTCCCATTTTAACAACTTGCCATCGTCAGGATAAAGTCATTGTTCCTTCGTGTACAGTTAAGGATGTAAAGTGAAAGTTAGTGACTAGACTAGGTGAACAGTTTGAATTTTGAATGGTGAATGGGGTAAAGGGAGTTGGTTTCTTGAATATTGTGGGAAATGACACCACTTTGTCAAATTCAGCTAGCAATTACTGTGTTTTCTATACGCCAGACATTGATACATCACTTACTACATCATTTCATTTAATCTTCACAACACCTCTATGAAGTAGGTATTATTAGACGTATTTTATAGAGAAGCCGGGTTCAGTATGGTAGCAGCATGGTTCCTGCATTGTGAAGGAAATTAAAATTTGTGCCTTTTAAAATATTTTCCACCCCTGAGTTGTCTGAAGTACTTACTTAGTGCACAGGTATTGAATTGGTGACATAATTTAAAATGATAAGACTTGGCAGGATTCAATGGATAAAGTAGAATACAGTCTTTCAGGCTTTGTACAGTATTCATGTTTCTGTCCTTGACATTTTTATGATATTAATATGAAGTTACTCAAAGAGAAAATTGTGAGATTTCAGTGGATGACAGAATCGAAGAGGTTTTAAAGCCTTTGCTTTTGGTAACCTGTGTAAAAAGTAAATTGCCTTAGTGTCTGCTATATTTTACTTTAATATTAAATGGAAAGACTGAGGCTTTGTTGCCTAGGACAATTAATGCCCCAAAGTAAATATGTTTGTTTATAGAATGTTCTGTACCAGCCTGAAATTATGGGGGAGATACAGCCAGTTTTTGCTGAAGTCAGCAGCGAGTGTGTGTGTGTGTGTGTGTGTGTGTGTGATGGTATAATGCCTAGGAAAGAGAGAGGAGTGGGGGGAGTGGGAAAGTGAGAGTAGACGTCCAAGGATTGTGTTATCCGTACTAAATTCAGCAGGGAGCTTCAATAAGGTGGTAGAAAGTTTAGTTGCTTTAGCAAAATGGGGGTTAGAGACTTCAAGTAAGTTGTTTCAGTGGTAAGTTAAAAAAATGGAGATAGGAAGTAGAAAGTAAGAGCTAACAGGAAACTGAACTTGGTTAGGAGAAAGTTTTTTGGAATGGGAGAAGTTTGACCTTTGTATGGACTAAAAATTAAAAATCTTCCTTCTAAGCTGATACTATGTTTTAGTTTGAAACACAAGCTAACTTAATGTTTATGGAAGACACAGTTGGTGTCTTTCACATATTAAATAGTTACTCTGGAAAAAACACCTCTTCAGTTTTTTATATAATTCGTGTGTGTGTGTGTGTGTGTGTATATATATATATATTTATATAGAAACTGAATCAGCTACTAAGAGGCAGAGCCAGAATTTGAGCCAGGATCACACCCAGTATCACAAGCCCTTGGTTCTTAACTGCTACAACGTTACCCATAAAATAACAACTTTGAGCTAAACTGGTAAACCTGAAAAAGGCTAGAGAGGAAAATAACCATCTGCTTGTTATTTACATTTGAAAGCAGTGATTTTCAAATTTTGTTGCTACTAATTGTAGGGTTAAGACCTGACTCATTCCTACCACCATTCTGCCCAAACTGACCATTATGATGATTATGCCTCTTAGTGTGTTATGCATTACGTATTTTATGCCTCTGACTATATGTAAGTTTGATATTTGGAAATACTGTTATTCGTTCTCTTTTTAATTCTGTTCTCAACTTCATATTCCTCTGCATATTCATTTCTACTTTGAATCTCCTTTTTCAGCCCTTAATTCTATTACTTCCCTTAATTAATAGCTTCTTCTTATTCCATGGGTTTACTTTACCATAAAAATACCTGACATTTTCTTGCTCTATTAGCCTAACATAGTATCTGTGTAATACCTGGTTGCTAAGGAAACCATACTAGCTATTAATATGGGGTAGGAAGATTTCTATAAGAACCAGGAATTAATCATTTTAAGGCAACACCAGGAATCAGAGGTTGTGGCCAGTTAAAGCTAAACAGACAACAAAAGGTGGGGCAAAGTAGCCTTATAAGAAAATTGCACAGATGTGGAGCTGACCAGTTTTTTCTAAGCTCATGGTTGTGTCTAGTCAGAAAATAATTTTTTAAAACCTAATACTTCATATTGCAAACTGTATTAAGCTCATTTTCATAAGAGTTAGTGAAAATTGATGGTGTAATGGGGGAGTGGCAGAGAAATACAGAGTAACAATCAGTGGCAACCCTGAAAATAGACCGTAGAATTTAAACATCTATTTAATGAGGTTTGTATTTAGCTATTGACACCTGTCTAGGAAAGTTAAATTAGCAGTAGATATTAACATCAGCTTTTAAAATTTTGAACCTGTCCTTCTAAAAAGTGTTCTTATGTGCATTGATCCACAGATTGTCCAAGAGATTCTCTAAAAAGATATTTTAGAAGTTTGATAGTATTTTTGTAAACAGAATTGGAAGGTGATAAAATTGTGGAGCTTGAAGTTTTGGTACTAAACAAGTTTAACTACAAAGATTAAAAGAATAGAATACAGTTTGTTATACTTGCAGTATATCATATTATCTACAGGTATCATACTCTTGAATTAGAATTTTAACTATAGCTATTGTAACGCAATACTGTATTAAGCACTGTGTGCCATGCGTCAGACGCTAGCATTTGTGAATTTTTAAGGAAAAGCAGAGTATTACCTGCATTTGGAAAAGGGATTAAATGTTAATATCTGAAGAAAATGATATTTTTCTTCATAATAAAGTGTATTTTTTCCCCTTTCTTTTTGACCAGATGCTTGCACATATCACCCAGGTGTTCCAGTCTTCCATGATGCCTTAAAGGTAAGAACTTGGTATATTTCAGTGCCTTCGTATTCGTACATTAAATTTAGAGGTGTAATACTGAATCTTCATTTTCTTATCTTTTTTTCTCAGCCTATGACTTTTTGCTTTCTTAATGACCACTTTGGGGTGCTTTAAGCAAGTACTCCATTAAAGGCAAAGACAGTAGATGGTGATCTTAATTCTCAGTTATAAAATTGTTATTTCCATTCCAACTCTCATTTTCTATACTTTTCATTTCTTTTTAATCTTGAGGGGAAGTGAAAGCAATGTATTGAATCTTAGTTTCTTAATCTATCAGGCAGCTACTGTATAATAAGAGCGGCTCTGAATTTTAGGAAAGATTGTTATAAACAGTAAAGAGTGCCAAACTGTTTGAGACACCACCTGTTTTCCACCTGTACTTCCTTGGTGTTCTGGAGAGTTAGAGAAATAATAAAATGTTGTTTGACTAGGTTTTTCTTGGTGTGTTTATTGATCTTTTACAATTTATGATAATATGGTAACATTTATCTCAAAAGATAATGTGTATCTCTTTTTCCTTTATTATGTTATGTTAGTCACCATACAGTATATCATTAGTTTTTGATGTAGTGTTCCATGATTCATTGTGTATAACACCCAGTGCGCCATGCAGTACATGCCCTCCTTAATACCCATCACCGGGCTAACTCATCTCCCCACCCCCCTCCCCTCTAGAACCCTCAGCTTGTTTCCTGTAGTCCATAGTCTCTCATGGTTGTCTCCCCCTCCAATTTCTCCCCCTTCGTTTTCCTTTCCTTCTCCTAATGTCCTCCATTTTATTCCTTATGTTCCACAAATAAGTGAAACCGTATGATAATTGACTTTCTCTGCTTGACTTTCCCTTAGCATAATCTCCTCCAGTCCCATCCATGTTGATGCAAAACTTGGGTATTCATCCCTTCTGATGGCTGAGTAATATTCCATTGTATATACGGACCACATTTTCTTTATCTATTTGTTGAAGGGCATCTTGGCTCTTTCCACAGTTTGGCTGTTGTGGACATTGCTGCTATGAACACTGGGGTGCATATGGCCCTTTTCACTACATCTGTGTCTTTGGGGTAAATACCCAGGAGTGCAATTGCTGGGTCATAGGGTAGCTCTATTTTTAACTTTTTGAGGAACTTTACATTGTTTTCCAAAGTGGCTGTACCAACTTGCATACCCACCAACAGTGTAAGAGGGTTCCCCTTTCTCCACAACTTCTCCAACATTTGTGGTTTCTTGCCTTGTCAATTTTTGCCATTCTAACTGGTGTAAGGTGGTATCTCATTGTGGTTTTGATTTGAATTTCCCTGATGGCTAATGATGATGAACATTTTTTTCACGTGTCTGTTAGCCATTTATGTGTCTTCTTTGGAGAAGTGTCAGTTCATGTCTTCTGCCCATTTTTTGACTTGATTATTTGTTTAATGTATATCTCAAAAGAAAATGATGCGGTGTGGCTGCCATGGTTTTAGGTGTCGGTACTTTGTTTTTAGGAACATAAGCAGTCTTACATGTTTAAGTATTGTTGATGCCTTTTGAATTTTTAATTATACCTTCCAAGGAGTAGTTGTGGACCCTTTTTGGTATTTAACTTTTAGATAGCCAAGTGTGAATAAAGATGTGTGAGCAGATAACAAGTTTGTGTTAGTCTGGTTCTAAGTGAGGAAAACAGAACAACCATTTGATAGGGCAAGTTGAGAGATGACTCTTCTCACATCTTTTTAGCTGCTTTACAAACATCTTGGGGGGTGGAAACTGTGGTTCTGTGGGTATATTTACTTTTGCAGAAGAGTGAGGGGATTTTTTCTTTCCTGGATTGCCATTTATTCTATGTTTATTTTTCTTACATATGTTTTTCTTTTTCTTTCTTCTCCTATGATATGTTTCTGTCTCCTAACCATAGACGTATTTCACCTTTGTCTTTAGCTTCCTGTTTTCTCTCATTTAGTTCATGCATTTCTGTCCTTAAATGTCATCTCTGTGCTAGTGGCTTCTGCAAGATATTTCCATTTTATTTGTGACTGCAAACCAGTTTTTATTTTTTTCATTTTTAAATATTTATTTGAGAGAGAGAGAGTGAGAGATAGAGAGCACAAGAGGGAAGAGGGTCAGAGGGAGAAGCAGACTCCCTGCTGAGCAGGGAGCCCGTTGTGGGACTCGATCCTGGGACTCCAGGATCATGACCTGAGCCGAAGGCAGTCGCTCAACCAACTGAGCCACCCAGGCGCCCCTGCAAACCAGTTTTTAAAGTGAACTCTTACTCCAAAAATAGCTGGCATTTCAACTTTGCTGCTGCTAGTAATGATACCACAAACTTTCTAGTCATTCAGTCCATTGCTCTTTTTTTTTTTTTTACTACCCAGCTGTTCATCACCCTGTTGAATTAATCTTAAGGATTTCACTCTGAAGTATTTTTGTTTCTCTTTTCCAATTCTGTTTATTATTGTCTCTATTAACATTTCTTGAAGACCTGTACTTTTTAAGACTATTGGATTTCACACTGCAAATATGTAGACAGACAAAATAGGTAACTCAGTGTAATGTCTACTGTTGCTGGTTTAATTGGCAAATAAGAAGTTAAACATTGCATATGCAAAAGAAAGAACATTTTAGTATTCAAATTAGAAGTGGCATAGACAAAGAGACAATTCTTCTTAAGAAATGACAACCTTATACTCACATACTTAAATTTATCTTTCATTTTTTAAAAAGATTTTATTAGAGAGAGAGAGAGAGACCCGCATGCAAGCACACAAGCCAGGGGAGGGGAGGGGCAGAGGGAGAAGCGACTCCCCGTTGAGCATGGAGCCTGATGTGGGACTAGATCCCCGGATCCTGGGATCATGACCTGAGGCAAAGGCAGACACTTAACTGACAAAGCCACCTAGGTGCTCTTTCATTTTTTTCTTTTACTGAGGACTGCCATAGATCCCAGATTGGTGTTTGGGAACAACTAGTATGTATCATGTATGTATCCCAGTATCCCCAGAATATCTGCTGTAATTCTTTATATATGATTAAGACAATAAAGCTTTTTCTTGTACAGAATAACTTTTCTGATGACTGTATTATCAATGCTAACTAAATACTGTATTTTAAGGTTATAGTAGGTTTTCACCTACACATTCAATTCAGAATAAAAGAATTCAGGTTCAAAATAAAGGAAAATTTAAATTATAGCGTATTTAACATTTTCTTTAAGATAATTTTGTAAGAAAGTAGTGTGAAAACAATCACTACCAAATTCTTCATATAGTGTATAGAGAAAAGCAGTGAGGCCCAGATGGATATGTGCAAATCCTAGCCTTTAGTCTAATTTGGAACATCCCAAGTCTTGAAACTGCTGCATTTTTATTTTCTTATTCTTTATACTACATTGAAATTACAGATGACAGCTAAAAGCCATTTTTTGGTAAGCCACTTGATATTTTGTTTAGAAATCACACACAGCATTGTAATTTCTATATTTTTATGCTTGTCGCTAAAAAGATCATTTAACCTTCAAAGATCTAACAATTCTTAGGCTACTATGCTAATCAATCTATGTTGTTCTGAAAACAGAATGCTTATTGTTGGGGAACACCTAAAGTGAGTTCTTTAGAAGCTAAATTATAATTAATGTCTCTGACTTACTGGATTTTTAAAGTAAAGCACTTCACTTACTCCCCAGATCCTTTAAAATATATGATATTTTTAGAAATTAGAAAATGTTTCTCTTCTAAAAATCAAGTACTAGTCTTGAAAAAATAAGTGATTTTTATTTCCCTATTTTGAGGTACTTCCTTTTGTGATCAGTCACAACACAAATCACCTTTAACATTGATTAATTAGCTTTTTTTAAATCAAAAACTAAAGATCATTTCACTTGATTTGATGAATCATTTATAACACTTCACAGCTGTGAAATCTGTATATGTGCAAGTCACTGCCAGATTCAAGGATGTATGCAAGTAGACTCTTAGTGGGCTGTGGGTCTATGCAAATTCAATTTTCAGTTTTTTTCTGTTTCATAGGGTTGGTCTTGCTGTAAGAGAAGAACAACCGATTTTTCTGATTTTTTAAGCATTGCAGTAAGTATTAATTTTTTTCCTAGGTTATCTCCTGAGAAAGTACAAATAATGGGAAGCTCCAGATTTGAGTAGTCTGATTTGGGACATCTGTTGAGTGGTCTGTTAATTTGCACATAGATCCTTTCTTTGCAAGTGGAGTTCACCTCTGTTGACAGCCTTTAAAATAAAGAATTTATCCGTTTTAGAGATAAAAGTTTCACGATATTAATTAGCCACCTGTCAATATAGGTTTGTCCTTGATAGGAGTAGTCTTTAAAGTACATCAAGAAGGAAGTGGTAGGTAGCTATTTAAGACATTTTTATAGTGAGGAACAATAGATATTTATCAAATCTAAGATACTACCAAGATGTACCATTTATTCTGTATACCCTTAAGAAAGAAAACAAAAGCTGTTAAGGACATGACATGCTATTAAAGCTGCGATTTCAGAGATGTTACAATGCATGTTTGACTCACCTGCCAGATTTGACAAACACTCTTATTTTACTTAATCCTCTCAGAAAATATCTTAAGTGCCCTTACCTCCATTTTGAGGAAACTGAAGTTTAAAAAGATTCCCTTGCTCAAGGTCAAATAAGTAGAAGAAGTAGGGCTTAAATCAAGGTCCTTTTGTGTTAATAATTTGTAGACTTCCATGTGAGAGTTCCAGAATTTTACTGTAAAAAAAAGTTTATGCTGTGTTTATAGTATAAGCTGATATTTATGAAGTGTAATTCAAAGACTTCTTTTAAAATACATTAAGATATAAGAACTTATTTACAAATATTGCAGATTTAGAGTTCTGTTTTTAGTTTCTTAAAATAAGTCCATGTGGAGAAAGCAAACAGTAGAATTTATTAATAAAGAAAACTAATTTTTCTATCATGGCATGTGAAACAGATGCTAGGATAACTCTTATCTTTCCTAACAGGGCTGTACAAAAGGCAGGCATAATAGTGAGAAGCCACCTGAGCCAGTCAAGCCTGAAGTCAAGAATACTGAGAAGAAAGAACTTTCTGAACTGAAACCCAAGTTTCAGGAGCACATCATTCAAGCTCCTAAACCAGTAGAAGCAATAAAAAGGCCAAGGTACACTTTATACAGTTGTATATTTTTGTAACAAGTGAATAATAGCATTTATTCTTGGTATTTTATGATTTTACATAATGCCATTTATAGCTATTATGTAGTCACCAATTTTTTATCTATTTGATTTTCCCTTAAGTATACCTTCCATTTTTATTCCCGCTTCAACTTGAGGGCATGTACACAGTAAACTTCCATTGTATATTTGTTCGTATATCATCATAATATGTCAAAAGCAGAAAAGACTCCATCTGTCTTGTGACTTGATATGTCTTTTTCACTGTGGCATAGTGAAATTCTAGAAAGGGATTGTTGTCAGAGAATCAGTTTGATTTGAAAAAGAACTTTAGACACCTTCCTCTTCATTCCTCTGCTGTTTTCTTGAATATTTTCTAGGACATTCCTGACAGAAGGATATTTAGTTTCAAATAATTCTAGTGAAGAGGAATTTACTTTGATTTTAAATTAGTCCATTTTATTGTTACTAAGTGTATATTTTTTTCCTCATATTGAGCCAAATTCTGTCTCCTTCATTTGTGCATATTTTGTCACTAGAACAAGCCTAGTCACTCCTTTTACTTTCAGATACCTGAAAACTGATAATTTTATTATTACTATTAAACTTTTTTATTTGATTTAGATGGCAGATCTGTTAAAGTACTTTTAAAATACTTTTTGTTCATTATGCAGTAGAATTACCCAGATTCTTTGTACTTACCTTCTGGTCAACGAAACTCTGTTTTACATTCTCACACATGCATGTTGGCTGCCACTGTTAAACCAGGCCTCCTTCATTTTGCACTTGAGTATTGTTTTAGAACCAGAATATAAGACTTAGAAAACAGATGGTTTTTGGTCTCAAATATGGCCCAAGTTGATTTTTTTTTTTTTTAAGATTTTATTTATTCATTTGAGAGAGACAGAGACAGAGAGAGCACAAGCAGGGGGGAGAGGCAGAGGCAGAGGGAGAAGCAGGCTCCCTGCTGAGCTGGGAGCATGATCTGAGCCAAAGGCATATGCTTAACCATCTGAGCCACCCAGGTGCCCCCCGAGTTGATACTTTTCCCATAATGGACTTAATGGTTTTCATGATTTTTTCTCTATTGATCTTAAATAAATTTATAGCATATTGAATAATACTGGACCAATATAAGAAGCCTGAGAGACTTTTTGACGTTTGTTCATTCAACCAAACTACTTACACTGATTTTTATTCCATCTCCACCTTATTCATAATCATGAGAGACTTTTATCAGATGTACAAAAAAAGTTAAGAGGGAAAGACAACTTTGGCATGGCTCATTCTTAAGTATTACAATGGTGTCTACTGTAATTAGCAGTATGAGTTAATAGTTATTTTAAATGGATTACTAATTAAGTGAGAAATTAAAGTACTTTTCCATAAATTCATTTTGTAGTATTGTAGAGATTATGGGAGTATAGGTTTTTATGTACTGTTCTTAATGCTTCCTACATCTTCCTACAATAGTTGTTTTCATTAAGGATGTGGAACGAATAACCTAGGATTTCTGTTTTTATTGTTGCATTTATTAATATGCTTAATACTTATTGAACGGCTTTAAATAAATTGTACGCATAACACTTAACCATTATGAAGTGTTGGGGGGTGTTGTTATTGATTTTTAACCCTACTGAAATTGCCTTGTGATAAAATTTTATCTGAATGTATGGATGCATATAACCAGTGTCCACACAAAGTGAATTATCTCCACTGGTAGGAATATGGATTCTCTCAGTACATATTTGTTGCCTGTTAATTGTATGCTCAGCATTTTGCTCAGGTGTGGAATGTAAAAGTACTTCATGGTTCCTTCTTGGCAAATGTGGATTCCTATTCTTTACTTCCTTCCCATTAGACCTACTGATTAATAATTTACCATGTTGGCAATAGCATGATTATTTGAGACTTAATATATTTATTTACTTATGTATTTATGTATGTATGTATGTATTTATGGAGGGCACAGAGGGAGAGAGAGAAAATCCCAAACAGGCTCCACACTGAGTGTGGAGCCTGACTCAGGGCTCGATCTCACAACCCTGAGATCATGACCTAATCCAAAATCAAGAGTCGGATGCTTAACTGAGTGAGCCATCCAGGTGCCTGAGTTTTAATATTTTAATATCAGAATTTTTCTGTTAAAACTTGAAAGTATAGATACATATTGCAGTTATTTGTAAAATACTATTTAATAGGAAAAACTTGATTCACAAAGCATTTGGCTTTTTATACATTCTTAGTGTATTTATTTTTAGTAAAAAAAAAAAAAATATATATATATATATATATTTTGGTATATCAATAATGGTAATAAAATTTAAAAATTCTCCAGCCCAGATGAACCAATGACAAAATTGGAATTAAAAATATCTGCTTCCCTAAAACAAGCACTTGATAAACTTAAACTATCGTCGGGGAATGAAGAAAATAAGAAAGGTAAGATTTTATTTTGTTTTTTTTTTCCTGTACTATTAATCAGTTATCTAAAAGACACCGCAGTATGGTTCACTGAATATAAATATGAAAAGGTAGCACATTATAGTAAAGAATTTATTTTTGTTTTCTAAATACCAGTAATACCACAAAATAAATTGGTGGTTTATTCATAATGTCTTTGTTAAAATGTCTTTATTAAGTGTTTCATTGTGCGTAATATAAAATATACTTAGTATATTCTGACCTACACTCAGTACCATGGAGGAAAGTAGTTACCCCTTTCACGATTTCTCTTTTATAGGATTGAGGTGTTCAATATTGTATTGCATTATAGAATAGAAATGTGTCATATATCATTTGGGGACATGGGCAAAACTTAATCATAATAATTGACTTCTTTTTTTTTTTTTTTTATTACAATAACTGACTTCTTAACAGCTTTTTAAAATATATTCCCTGAAAGGTCACGTAGAAAACTCAATAACTTAAAATAGTTCTCAAATATCAGTGTTTTTTAGATTTAGTATTTTTTCAAATACTTGTTTGATGAAAGAGGTTAAGAGTGACACTAAAGTATTTTAATGTTTCTAATTTGATTTTCTTTTCGTTTTAGAAGAGGACAGTGATGAAATTAAGATTGGGACCTCATGTAAAAATGGAGGGTGTTCAAAGGTATATATTGTAAAATTTGTGATGTGTCGTGGAAGTAGAATTGTAATTTTTGAAGAAGAGGGTGCAATTTACTGATGCAGTTCAACAAACATTTGGGTGCCTATTATGTATTGGTCAGTGTGCTATGGACTAGGGCTGTGAACATGTATAAGAGACTGTCTCTGATGAACATCATGTCTGACAGAATTATGGAATAAGTAATTCTAATTCAGTCAGCATTTACTGAGCATTTACTGTATGCCAGACAGTGTTTGGGGGGCTGGAAATACAGTATCAAGTAAGCAAAAATTTCTGCTGTTGTGTAGCTGATAGTCTAATTTAGGGAGAAGGATAACACATAGGTAATTAAATATTATGAATTTAGGTAGATACAAAGAAAATATAGTAAACAAGGAGATAAAGCTATTAAAAATAAGGCTGTCAGGAAAGTCCTTTGGGAAGTAGTGACACTAAATCAGAAATCTAAATAATGTAGCAGGTGAGTTATGTAAACCTCCAAGTTGATAGGGGAGAGCCAAGAAAAGCTTGGCTTTTCAAGAAATTAGGAGAAAAGTCAGTGGGGCTTGGTCTTGGGTGTGAAATATGAAAGGTAGGGGTAAGTGAGGTAGACAAGATTATGGTGGTCCTTAGAGGGCACATTGAGGGGTTTGGGCTTTTTTTGTGTGTAATGGGAAGACATTCTGTGTTTTAAGAAGGGGTTCTAAAAAGACCTCTTTGGCTGATAACCTGGCAAATATAATGGGGTACTGGGGATTTGGAGGAAGGAAAACCAGCTAGGATGCAATTGTGGAAGAGCAGGCAGTGGGATTGGAGCTTATTTTTTTGAAGTGGTTAAATATGGGATCTACATGAACATCTGAGGACTTTTCCTACCCCTCTGTGTGAAATTGCATGCCCTTCATCATCTCCACTCCCAACTGTCCTTTTTTCTCCAGGACACTAATCGCCTTATAACGTGCTACTTCTTTTGCATATGTATTTTGCTTATGATCTAATTTTCCCTTCTCTTCCTCCTCTCATGTAAGGTTTACAAGGACAGAATTTTTTTTTGTTGTTCTTTGCTGTATCTTAAATGCTTAGAACGGTGCCTGCCTGGCTCCTGACAAATTATGCAGAATGAATACTATTTGGAAGTATTAGCAGAACTTGCTAATGAACTTTAAGTGGAGGGGACTTGGGGCTCCAGCAGCTAGGTGACTGGTGACACCATTAACCAAGAAGGAAAAAACAGGATTTGGGGAACAAGGTTTGTAATTTTCCCTCGTGTTAAGTTTGAGATCACCTTGCTTATTTAGGGATGGAAGTGGAAATGGATTTACATGTATGTAAGGTAGAAGTAGTAGAAGAGAGTGACTGAGTACTGGGGTGGAGGGTAGTGCAGGAAGATCTGAGAGAAACCATTTCAGATGGATTTTGCAACATGAGTGTCAATTCCGTAAATGGACAAAAAGGGAAAGGGTACCTCAAGCAGAGGTGATAGCAGTATACAGCAAACAAGAAACAGTTAATAATGTATAAAATTTGTTGGTGTGGAGATTAGGAGAGAGAAGTAGGGACCAGATCTTTAAAGGCTTTTATAGTGCTCAAAAGTTAGATCTCATGTGATGTAGGTTAGAGAGGCCATTATTTGATCTTTTTCATTGAAATATAACATTAAAAAATATACAGATGTAAGTAAATTTATAGCTCAAGGGATTTTCACAAAGCAGAGCCCTCCTTATACTTCCTCCCATTTATTATTTCCTCCCAAAAGTAACCATGTTTTTCTATCAAGATAGGTTAGTTTTGCCTATTTTTGAGCTTACTGTGAATAGAATCGTAGACCAGGTATTGCACCACCTGTCTTCCTTGGCTTAATGAAATGTGTGTTAGAGTTATCTTTGTTGCACGTAGCCATAGTTTGTTCATTTTCATTGTTTTAAAATGTGCGGCTGTGTGAATGTTGCCCGTCAGCTTACCTTTCTATTTGTCCTTTAACTTTTTTTGTTTAATGCTACTTTGAACATTTTTGTGCCTGACTTTTGGGACATGTGGATACATTTCTATTAGGTATATGACTAGAAATGGAATTGCCAGATCGTGTGTCTATGTCCAGCTTTAACAGATACTTCCTCATAGTTTTTGAAGATGGTTGTATTTACACATCTGCCAGCAGTATATGAGGCTGATTCCATTTGTTCTACACCTTGGTAACATTTTGTAATATCAGTCTTCTATATTTTGGCCATTCTGGTGTAGTGTTCCCATTGTGATTTTAATTTGCACATTCCTGCTGATGAGGTTGAGTACCTTTCTGTATATTTATTGGTCACTTGGATATTCTCTTTTGTGAAATGTCTGAAATCTTTTACGTATTTTTCTTTCTATCATTTGGCTTTTTCTTACTGATTTTAGGAATTCTTTTTATTTTTTAACCAGAGAGAGACACTATACATTTTCACTGTCTTAATAATGACTTGTGATAAACAGAGGCTGTTTAATTTAGTGAAACCCAATTTGTCCATTTTGTTTGGCTAGTATTCTTTGTATTCTTTTTAAGAAGTTTGCCTACTTGAAGGTCATGAATATTTTCTCATATGTAGAAGCATGTTTAAAATGTACAAACCACCTGGAACTGATAACTGTGTAAGGTGTGAGGTAGATGTCCAAGAGAGTGATACATGTTTTAATTAGAGAGTAGAGTACAGAAATGGAAGGCAGAGAAAAGAATTAGAATCTGTTAGTATAGTCTCATTGTCTAAAATCTGCTCGTGATCATGAGGAAGGTGAGCAAATATTTTCAAGCTAAATTGACAGGATTTCATGATAGAAAACATGGATATGGTGCCATCAAATAAGGTAGGAAGAAGAGTAGGAGTTGAGGGGGCAATAGTGATAAATTCAGAATCTAACATAACTGATTTTTATGAGTTTATGGAATCTCTTTAGGAGATGTACACAGGCAGTACTTTGGATTTACCAAAAGTAAATACACAGAATTTTATTTTCTGTACTTGTAGGTGGTTGCTATAAATACCAAAGTAAAAAATATACTACTGGCTGCATCTGTGTTTTATTAACATAACTTTTTGTGAATTCATCTGTAGAGCCTTCACCTACAGCAGCAATGGGGCCCGGATCTTCCAGACAAACCCTGGATATATTTATAGGTCTGCAGCTCATTTTACCCTTCCTAGGGATAAGAAGTCAACAGCACTGTAGAACTTCCAGAATTGCTTTATTAATTCGTAATACCCACACAGAGTTTCCTGTACACATAAATCATGTTGTAACTGTATTTCCATTGAGAATACTAATCTCTTGGTTTCAATATTGTCCTATAAATTTAAATACCTGAATATGCTTGAATTGTGACCTCGTACCTGAAAGTCTGAAAGCATCTTAATAGATCCCATTGCCTACTTTTCTATTTGCCTTTTTCACAGGGAACTAAAACTTAAGCGTATCTAAAAAGGAATCATTTTTCATTCCTTATTAGAATGTCCTGGGGTGAATTTATGAATATTCTAGGTAATTGTTATTTCTTGAGCATTTTCATAGTTCTTAAAGGTTACCAGTTCTACAAATGTTTATGAAATATGACATTGAGATACGAAGCTAATTTTTTTTTCTTTTTTCTCTTTTAGACATATCAGGGTCCACAGAGTCTAGAAGAAGTCTGTGTATATCATTCTGGAGTACCTATTTTTCATGAAGGGTAACTTATACATGACTAATTAAAACTTCATGGTAGAGGTTAGAAAAGTTAATATGCCTATAAACATTATTTGCCATGCAGCATTATTAGGTATTTTACTTACATTGTCATAGAATAACCTAGAATGTGGGCTTTGTCTTTTTACATATGAGAAAACTGAAACAATTATTACAGTGGAGTGGCCATTGTGATTCAAACCTCATGTTTTTCCTTATTCCCTTATTTTTCAATGGGTGGTTACTCTTATTTAGTTTGAAGGACTGTTCTGTGCATTGCTGGACAGTTAGAATTTTTGGCCCTGGGGCACTAAGACACCAATATTGTGTCATCCAAGAAAATCCACTTTCTGCAGCCCTCAACTGAGATCTAGCCCCTCTTCCATACTATGCTGTGGTTTATAGAAATGCATTACCATGTTAAAATCTTCCAGTTTGTATCACTTTTTGGGAGCTTTATGAGGAAACTGGAATTAATAGTGAAAAAATCTATTAGTGAAAATAGTGAAAATTATTAGTGAAAAAAACTATTAGTGAAAAGTGAATTTGGAATTTTGTGATGGTTTTAAGCATCTTTACTCAGGAGCTCCAGAATTGCTACAATAAATGCCATTCTGGTTTTAAAATGATTAGTCTTCTGAAAGTTTTAACTGTTTAGTAACTTAGACACTTTGTAGAATACTAACGTTGCACACATTTATCTTTTAAAATCACACTGTCACTGTGCTTTTGGACTTAAGTGGTTGTAAGATTTTATTTCTAAAGTTTTTCTATGATAATTTAAAGGATGAAATACTGGAGCTGTTGTAGGAAAAAAACTTCTGATTTCAATACATTCTTAGCCCAAGAGGGCTGTACAACAGGGAAACACATGTGGACTAAAAAGGATGCTGTAAGTAACATTTTCATAATATATTGGGATATATTTGTCTTTTTTTTTTAAGATTTAAGATTATTCTATCTTCAGAAATTAAAAAAAAAAAAAGTTTTTCTGTCTCTCATACAGTAAAGGTTTGATGTGCCTAAAAATTAAAATTGAGTCAAGCTCCCAGAGCACTCTTTGATCCCAAGTAGCCATTGTGTATGATGATGCAAAATACAGGTTTTTGTGAAATACTAAAGCCTCTGCCAAAATTGAAGCATATGTTTCTGTAATTCCATAGGCTCTTCCCACTTTTTTTTTTTTAAATCATTTTTCTACTCCTTCGATGTTATTAATCACTTAGACTTTGGATTCTCTTCTGGCCACTTAAAACTTCACGCAACCATTTACAGTGCAAAATCACTCCACCTAGCGGCCAAAGAGAAGGATGGCAAACTTGTTCCAATTGTCTTGAATGCCTCTGCTTGCTTCGGGGTAGTTTATCAAAACAACCAAAAAAGCTTTGGTTCCAGCTTCACTGGATAGCTTTTTAAAAAGACATAGGCTATGCAAATAAGTGTCCAGAATCCCATTAAATTGTAAGAAGGCAAGCAGTTTATTGCTCAGTAAGTGCATCTTAGCTATTGTAATGTATTTTATAATGTATTAGTTTTATGTGCTATACTGGCAATAACAACCCCACTAACAACAGACCTTTTCACTATATGTGTCTTTTAACTTATAAAATAATTGTAAATTTTCAGATTGCTTTAGGGATTCATTCTACATTTGAGTATTCTGTAGTTTCTGATTTTTAACATAGTTTCTGATTTTTAATAACATGCTTTGGTATTATAAATATGTCCTTCAAGTTATAATTCATCTGCCACAAAACTTGCACGAATGTTTTATTAACAGAAAGACTTAATAAAGTCTCCCTGTATTTTCTCCAGGGACCAAAATTTTGGAAGTTTTAGCTTAAAAAAATAAAATGTTGTTTTCTGTAATATGCAGAAGTTTTCAGAGTATAACCCTCGATGAAATAATATTTTGTTATATTTTAGTGCATACATCTATCGAGTATTAAGTGTCTGAGCTAGTAGCTAAGGGCAAAAAACGTAAGTGATGTAAGTAATTTAAATTCTGTTAGCATAATTATACCAAAATGTAAATACTGCATTTTCAACAGTAGTGTCTCACAGTTTCCTGCATTATATAACTAAGTTGCTCTCATAAATTTACAAAACAAATCAGAATTTGTCTCTTTTTTAAATAGTCCTTGATAAAGCAATGTTCCACTGGTAGGTAATAGTTATTTCTATAATAATAACCAAAACATTACTTCCACAAATTACCACTTTTTTCTTCATTTTATTATTAGAGGAAAATAAGCTATTCTCTAACAGATAGCAGATAGGTGTAAGTAGTCAATTAGTTCCAATTTGTAGAAATTGGAAATTTCAATTTGTAGTCAAATTCCAACTTATAGAAAGTAAGTGGAAGATTATGCATGAGGTTAAGATGTTTTCTGGATTATTTCACTAAGCAAATGTCTTTTTATGACTGTGCTTAGTGGATTTCAGAAATGTTAAAATAGGATAAAATTTAGTAGGAGTTCTTTCAGTGTATATTAATGCTATGGCCCTAAAAGAAAAAAATCAAATGGAAGAATAAGCGTGTTCTCCAGCCATAAGACTATAAAGGTTATCTTTATTGTAATAGTTTATTATTTAAACCTTTATTAGGTGGGAATTTTTGAAGTTGTTTGCCCTTAAAAACATTAAGGGCTCAGTTGCACACGGTAATTTTTTTTTTTTTTAATTATTTGGCTCAGATTCCTCTTTTTTTGAGAGGTTATGTGGCACTTGGTAAATTCATAAGGTTTTTCTTTTATAGGGGAAAAAAGTTGTTCCATGTAGACATGACTGGCATCAGACTGGGGGTGAGGTCACCATTTCAGTATATGCTAAAAATTCACTTCCAGAACTTAGCCAAGTAGAAGCAAATAGTACATTGGTAAGTATACTAAATATCTTTGAGAAAAAATTGTCTTCATAAATTATTTTCTATATTAATGTATTATAAATACTGTGGGTCGATTTTAAGATTTTTTAATATTTTCCATTCAGAAAAAATGTTTGAAATTACTGTCAGAAACTATTTTAAATGAAAATTTCTGCATAATAGAATTATTTCTGAAGCATTCTGGAGATACTATAGTAGCTTAGATTTATCAAATACAGTACCTCGTTCTCAATATGAAATGGCAAGTTAAATTTTCTCTTAATGTTTTCCTCAAAAAAAATACACAATATTGGAAGTTTGTTAAAATAGCTTAAATGATTTATATCAGTATCTTATTTTTATAATCATTGTTTTAAATCCTGTTCCTTCAATTTGGATCTGATCAGTTAACTTTTTGTGTTTTTCAGTTAAATGTGCACATTGTATTTGAAGGAGAGAAGGAATTTCATCAAAATGTGAAATTATGGGGTGTAAGTATCAATGAATCCAGAATTTTTTCTGATACTTTAGAATACCCAATTTGTACAGTAAAAAGACCATACTTAAACCAATGATGCAAAGTAGGAATATAACTTACCATTAATTCTTCTAAAAACTTTAAATCTGGGTGTAAAAATGGCCTTAGAAGCTCGGAGTTGTGATTATTAGCATAGACAAGACCAATATTTTCCTCTAAGACTTAAACAACATCGAGGCTAACATAGGTTAATAAAGAGTCATTCTCTGCTACATTGCAGGTGATTGATGTAACAAGAAGTTATGTAACTATGACTGCAACAAAGATTGAGATCAACATGAGAAAAGCTGAAGCTATGCAATGGGCAAGCCTTGAACTGCCTGCTACCAGAAAGCAGGAAAAACAAAAAGAAGAAACAACAGAATGAGCTGATAGGGAAAGAAAGTTATTGCCTATTTCAGAATTCTTACTATGTGGTAAAATGGTGGCTTGCTCCTGTCCTCTTTTGTTGTCGTTGTTGTATTTGCTGTTGTTGAATCTGGCAGTTCAGGGTCAACGGTAGGTTCTTAAAAGCCAAAGTCAGTTTATCTTTTCTTGCCTCCCGTCTTCTTTTTGAGTTACCTAAGTTTGATTATTCATTTCTCCTCACTCGGCAGAACTGCATTTGTGTCCTATACTTGAAAAGCTAGAAAGTAGCTCATAAACAGTTACAGTATTTCTTGGTATAGTGTGTTTAGCAGAGAAGGGTAAAAAAACATTTGTTCACATCTCTTTTCTATTATCCCATAATTAGTAAAACAAGATGGAATGTCGGATTTTTAATTAGTTTTTTCATTAGTTTGTGTTCCTATAATACTTGAAAATCTTTAAGGAGGAGATGAAGCTCTGCATTGTTTTATCCTCGGGAAGGTGACTTTTTCTAGGAGGAATAATTCTGAGGTAGTGTAGTAGCTAGTTAAAGGGGAATATATGCATTGAATAACAAATTGGAATTTGTTTACAGCTAATTAAATTAAAACATTATATCAGCACCTATATTACTTGCCAAGTGCTATGATTTAAATGTATAGAAAACATTATAAATAAGAGTAGAGAGGTATCAGTTTGGTTAAAATTTGCCATTTTATTAAGACTAAGCAATAATGTTAAACATCTCTTTTCTGATTATTTTATAAGGTGTTTGTATGGTGTTATAACTAAATTGTACCTGATTCATAGCCTACACCCTTAAAATCTTTAATTAGTTACATGTAAAGAGAAATTTATATGTGTATTATAATTATATATATATTATATATATATATATATAAATATTTGGCCTCCCTGATGGAAAACTGTATGTATAAACCATAGATTTAAAGGCTTATGGAAATACATTACGGTATCAAAAAAGTAAATATTTAAGCTTTGGTTTATGAGAAATATCTATTACATGTTAAATAAAATAGCTGAATTCTTTTGGAGTTTTGTTCTAGGCTTTCATGAACAGCTTGACAATTCTAGGTGATACAATGTTGATTATATATTGTACTTCATTAGATACAGGTATCAGAGACTTAGATTGTTTATGCTAATTGAACCCATTAAAGATAGTTTACTTTTTGAGGCAATGCAGAGCTCACGAAGAAAACTAAAATTAAGAAATGTTTTGAAGGCCAAAACTTTGGCAGGACTTAAGAAATTTGGGTATGAATTATGCTAATGTAGATTAAAATAATTATTTCCCAAGCCCCTTGAGTGTTTTTTTTTTATTCTTATAATGAAAATTTGCATAAGTACAGTTTTAGAAGTACAGGTTAATAAAGAGTATGTCTCACTCAACTAACCTTAGCAAATAACTACTAAAGGTGGTTAAGTAATTATTAAATGATTTAGCTCTGTTACAAATAAAGACATAAAAAATCTGGCAACTGGGCTTGCATGACACATGGTATTTTAATGACATGCCATGTAAACATTTTAGTACAATTGGGCCAAAATAGAGTATGTAAGTTTCTAGTACTTGGGGTTGTATTTAAATTTTTAAAAATTATCTTTCATAATTTAAAGACCTACGTTCATTTGGAGACATAAAATCTTGTTTATTGTTTAGGGGAGAGGTTGATACTTGATTTGAAGTAATGATTAATATACCTTTTTTAATGTTTTCTTCTTGAGACTTTTTTTCCCCTAAGCAGTATCTTAATGTGTTACATGCAGTTGAACTATTATTTAAAGCAAGTGGATTATTCACCTGAGAGTTAGTTACAAAGCACTGACTCCGTGTGTGTGTGTGCGCGCGCCTGTGTGAGAGATGTAGCTTATATAGTTACATTAGTGATCTCATTAGTGACCATTCTGTTTCCTCTCTTACTCTTACGATCCTCTGATTTGTTGCCCAAATAAAAATCTAAATATTTTTATCTTAGATTCGTACATAAAGGGACAGAGTTATTATTAAGTAGAATATGTGTTACTTTATCTGTCAAAAAATTAAAAATGTTAAATTTGTTTCTCTAGAAATATGCTTTGTCTTTCTCAGCATTCAAAGTACTTACTACAGCAAAGCAGTCAAAACTAAGTTTATTATACACTTGGTAACTAATCTGACAGCTTAAACTCAACATGGGAAATAGAAAATACTATTTTTTCTTGTTCAATATCTTTGCTAGTATAAAGGTAGTGAGGTCCTAAGAGTTGAACTTTTATTTTTTTTAACCTCTTATCTTGAGATAATTTTAGATTTATAAGAGTTGCAAAAAAAGTACTTAGAGAAGTCTTATTTTCTATAGTAATCTTCGCCTTGTATTAAAATCTTAGGAACACGTACAAAACTAAGAATTAGTACAGTAGGTACAATACTACACCTAAAGCAGAACATTGATTTTGACCATCCTTTTTTAGTGGAACACTTGAAGGGTAGTTCTTAAAACCTACCCTAGTTTTCTTGTAATAATTTCAGACAGTAGTAAACCATTAAAAATAGAAATTGAAATCAACCTACCTTAGAGAGCTATGTTTATATAGGTCAATGATGTAACTTCTTGTAACCAAAGACTGGCAAAGGACTAATGATCTATTTTATCATTTTATGCTAGAGATTTTAATTCTTATTAAGTGTAACTTGTTTGGTTTTCTTTAGACAATTCTTTAACCATTTAAGGGTGAAGAAAACCTTAAAGACTTGTTGAAAATATCTTAAGATGACTTTGGGGTATTGCTCTGCCACTCCTTGCTTTTTTAAAAAAAAGCCATTCCCCAATCTGAAACTGCATGACACCCACAATAAATTTTTAAAAGCTCATTTATGAGTTCTGTTACCAGCTTTAAGGCATTTGATTACATAATCTTTTTTTTTTTTTATAACTACCAGGTATTTGTAAGTTGTCAGAACATTAACAGGGTTTTGTTTTATTGCATATTAATTTTGATGAGGCATTCATATTTGGTATCCTTTTTATTCTTTTGCCTATATCATAATTCTGTGGCCTCCGATCTGAAATACAAGCTTAAGTCTAGCTTGTTTTTAGGTTTTGTTAATATTTCCTTTCATTTATTTAAATTGTTGAGTTGATAGGCAGTTGATTTTTTACCTGATTGCTTCCTTCCTGCCTAAGTATCTTAGAACTTAAACTCATCTGGAGTTGTTGCATGACTTGCCTTTTTTATTTAGGGGTAGATGCCTGGGGCTTTATATGTAGTATTATCTCTGAAGTACAGAGCTTGCAGTGTTTTTCTTCTGCATAGTTACTATTTGATTTTAAGTTTTTATATAGTTCTGAGTTTTGAAGAATTCCTTCAAGAACAGTTTCTCTAAAGGGCATGTTTTAATTAAATGTTAATTAATGACCTTTCTTAGTTTTCTAATTTAGTAGGCCACCTTTAATGTCCATTAAAGTGAAATAAAACTTCTAGCCTTAAACATTTTTATGTCGATTAAAAATTGTGTCAAAAATAATTTGGTTTCCATTTCTCTTTGATCAAGCAGGTATACTGCTCAAATGATTGGATTGTTAAACTATCTTTAAGACTTTGCTAATTGAAATAAGATTACTATTAAGCCTGGAAGAGGGAAACATCTGTGAACCTGTAGTACTTTCCTGTCACCCTCCACAAATGAGACTAGATGAGTGTAGTAGTGTTAATGCCTTTAAAACAGTATGATCCTTTTGTTCAAATGCTTATTACAGTTTACAGTTCCATATTCATATTTTATTTGTATGATTGATTTGTTAATGTCTGTATACTCATAGACTGACAATAACCTTGACTGTGTTTTGGCCAACCGTAGTATCTCCATTTTCTAGTATAGTGCTTGGTATATTGATTGACTCTTGTACATATCAAGATCCACAGCCCTTCTTTTGGGCCACTCACTGTTCTAAGGACTTTAATGAATATGAACTTAATCCTAATGATAACTCTATGAGGTAGGTTCTATCAGTATATTACAAGTGGGGAAAGTGATTTATTGCATAGATTAAATAACTTGTCTAAGTCAAAGCTAGTGAGTTTATAGAGAGTAGAGATTTCAAGCTCAAGCAGCCTGGCCTTGCATTCTGTGCTCTTAACTACTCTGTGCCGCTTTTGTCTGTCAGTTGAGTTTAATACGTTCCATAAAACATTGGCACATAGCATGGAAAATTGGTAACACTGTGTTTGGTCACCAGGAACAAATTTTTAGTTTCGTATGTTTTGTTAGAAAATAAGTTTATAAAATAAAATATGTAGTCCTTTTGGGTGGTTTTAGTTATAATAATAGCTGGATTACAAACTCATTATTTGTGATTTGACAACTCTTAGATCTCTAGTTTCTCTCAGCAGCCTCCAAAGAAGTTTCCGAATCCTCAGTTTCAAAAACAAGTTTCCATTGTCTTTTTGATAATGGTATGTATCCTGTATGTAGCTTTACAGATGGGAATTCATAACTGCATGTTAGAAAAATGTGTAATGAAACAGCATCAGATTTGTCTTTGTTTTCCCCATTAGTATGAGACCTGCTTAAAGCAATTACATAATTTAAAGTGCCTGCAACATAAGATGCCTGCGTAGGAAAGACAGATAATATTGTAAATATAGGACAGATAGCAAGGGATCATTTCATCTTCTGGGCTAGGCCAGTGGCTATCAAAATACCGTTTCTAGACTAGCAGGATCAATGTCTTGGAATTTATTAGAAATGTAAATTCTGGGTCCCCAACCTCAGACCTACTATAAATCAGAAACTCTGGGAATGGGGCCCAAAAATTTGCAGAAAAATGTTGATGTACAATAAAGTTTGTACAAGCAGCATGGAAGTGTGATTAGGCTTGCAGTTTTTTTCCTCTTATCAACTTAATTTCTTTTAAATTTACTCTTTGCTTTATTTTTTTTTTTTAAAGATTTTATTTATTTATTTGAGAGAGAGAGAATGAGAGATAGCACGAGAGGGAAGAGGGTCAGAGGGAGAAGCAGACTCCCTGCCGAGCAGGGAGCCCGATGCGGGACTCGATCCCGGGACTCCAGGATCATGACCTGAGCCGAAGGCAGTCGCTTAACCAACTGAGCCACCCAGGCGCCCTACTCTTTGCTTTAGAACAGTTTTGGATTTAAAGAAAAACTGAAGATAGTACAGACAGTTCCCATATATTCCACATCCAATTTCTCCTATAATTAACATCTTACATTAGTATGATACGTTTGTTAGAATTAATGAACCAGTATTGATACATTTTATTAACTAAAGTCCATACTTTATTTGATTTCCTTAATTTTTACCAGATGTCTTTTTCTGTTCCAGGATCCCATCTAGAACACCACATTACATTTAGTCATCATGTCTTCTTGGGCTCCTCTTGGTTTTGACAATTTCTCAGACTTCCTTCAAAACCCTAACAGTTTTGAGGAGTACTGACTGGCCAGGTATTTTGTAGAATGATCCTCACTTGGGATTTGTCTGGTGATTTTCTTAGGGTTGTATTGAGAAAACCACAGATGTCAAGTGTCGTTCTCATTGGTTAGGTATTATGGGTACATACTGTCCAATAAAAGATTGTTCAGGCTTACACCCTGAATATGCAGTGTGTGCCACCCAAACCACCTGTACTGAATCCCCTGTATGAAAGAAAAGTTCTTTGCTGGAGGAATGGGGAAAGAACGCTGCTGGGTGACAAAAATACATAAATTCACCACAGACTATCTCTTCCTTGATTCTGTCGGTTCAGTGATTAAACAGTTTAGTTAGGCATGGTATATTCTTAAGGTGGAGGAAAATGTAAAGATTATATGTGTCACCAAATAAAATCCACAAATTATAAACGTTTGCTACATTGGGCTTCTTAGAATTAATGGGTTTCTTGGAATTACAACTGTGTGTAAAACTTTAAAATGCTCCCTACTAATGAGAGCTAGATTCTAATAACAGACTGATCTCAGACTGCATATTAGAGGCCAACTTGGACTGGTTTTGATACCTTAAGGATTCCTTCCAGGACACTCCCCCACCTCCATAAAACTCCTTAAATTATTAGCAGGAAAAGCCTGAGTTGGAGGCAGAGGGGAGGAACAAATTTAAGTGAGCAGAAAGCCAATATGAGGATAAGGAATATTAGAACTGAAATATATTCAGTTAGGTGGAATTCTAGTTCAGTTTTTCAGGCAGGTAATTTAAAACCATCAGGAAAAGTGTCTAATAACAGGACTTTATAATTCACTTGTGATTAGGTTAGAAGATTACATAAATTTTGCAGTTGAGGCTTAGGAATTTAGGT